AGCATCGTGTCTGCTTGCCGCCTCACCGCTGTCGTCCTTCTTCACCGTCGCGTTGCCGCTCCTACGCTTCGTCTCAGCGCCCGCTTCACCGACGCCGGCCAGTCGCCCCCGAGTTTTTTTTTCAGTAGGGGTTGCCACGTCGCCGATGAGCGTGTGCGCACAGGGCATAGGTAAGCCTCCTTCCCTTTCTTTTCCTCCCCCCTTTCTTCCCCAATGCCGCGTGCTAGTATGAAAGCACGACCCTGGGCAGCAGAACGCGCGCGGCAGCGGCTTTTCTCCTTTTTTTTCTCAGTTCTCACTGACTCGCGGCGCGGAGCGCCAGCGTGCACCCACAGCGGAGCACACCCGCTGGTTGCCAGTCTCACAGTGTGCAACAGCTGGCAGCTTGGTACGAAAACAGCTCGCCACATGATGGCACGGCCCCTACCCACCAAATCCTCCCGTCGCGCCGCAGCATGACCCCGCAATAATTCAGCATGGGTACGGACCCCCGACCTTTCATGCTGCAGCACAATACCCGGCTGCCACAGCACCTTGACCGCGCTCATCGCGCTACAGCACAACGTCCGGCTGTGACGACCAGCGCCCACCTCGCCTGCCGTTTGCAGCACGACAACGACAACCGCCACCACAGCGTGACACGGCTCAACGACGTCACCCCTCCATTGCACGGTGGTGCAAACATGACGAGCAGCTTACCCCCCTCGCGCCGCGCAGTAGCACATACGCTAGCGCCAGGGCGCTCGAGGGAAAAGTCACGGCGTCGTGTATCCACACAACGCCGACCGTTCTCAGTACCACGTCCGCGGAAGCACTCCGCCATGTAGCGAGGTAGACCGCGCCGGTCCCTCCAGCGGCGCGCTGGCTTGTGTACGGCTACGGCGGTGCTCAGGACACTACCGTCCTGGGTGCCGCAGTAGTCATATGTGTGCTTTCCATGCACGCACCAGCGTGCACGGATGCACCCTGCCTGTACCTCCCCACCTTGACCCAACCGGGTTTTAATCCTGGTCTCCGTGGTCATAACTGGGAGGTATGAGGGTAAGGGTGTGCCCGTGTACATAAACCCCACATCTTCTGCATAGATGATGTGGGGCATTTTTTGTGCCCGTTTTATGTTGTCGTCAGTAGATAGTAATTTAAAAAATTTCCCTGAATTTTCGAGGAGTAGGGTGTGCCCTCCAAGGCTTGCACTGAGCTAAAAATACATTATGTGAGCCTCGAGGCACGGCGAGCAGGGCCCTGCAGCGATGCCGAGGGCGCGTGAGCCATCCGAGGCGGCAGTGGGCATTAGCAAAGGAAATTTCAAGTTCCGAAGGCTAGCGCAAGGGTGCCGGGCAAGCCGAAGCTGCCGAGCTGCCCAAACGGTTTGTATGTGGCTGTGCAGGGAAATGCCCAGTTCCTTTGCATCACGGCCCAGGGCTTATCGCAGGTTCCTTTGCAAAGTGGTTACAGCATCAGGTGCTTGTGAGCGACTTGAAGATCTTGGAAGACGGCGACGAGTCTGAGATAGGGGAACGAGGTGTAAGCGGCGCCCAGCGATGCTTATTGTGAAGCCTCTTTCTGAATCTGTCTCATAGGTCAACTTGTCTGGTGGACAAAAGGCGAGGGGTGAGTTGCCGTGCGTCTCCCAATACTAGTGATTGCTGAGCAGTTTTTTTGCAAGTTTCTCTCGCGCGGGCGGTTTATTCGCGAGCCTCGATTCTCCTATTGGACGACGCTTTATCGGCAGGTATGAGCATCAACGTCGTCGTCTTCTTCAATATCTCATTGTCCTTTTTAGTCGACGCGCATACCGCACATCACCTATACCACCAATGCCTCAAAGGCGATCTCATGCGAGGACAAACCGTGATTTTAGTCTCTCATCATGTACAGCTTTGTGCCCCCGGAGCAAGCTATGTCGTCGCTCTTGAAAACGGGTACGACGAACCCCTCGTCCTCGATTTCTATGGTACTGACACGCAACGTAGCCGACTTGAGTACGCAGGTGACCGTGAAGGCTTCCAGAACTCCGAAGTTATGAGCACGCTAGTTCAATCTGGTGCCACGGAAAGGGAGGCCGAAGACGAAAAAGAAGAAGGAGCCATCGAGGACTTGAAACCACCTCCCGTAGACGCTCATGATTCGGCTGCAGGCTCCGAGTCAAGCTCTACCGTTGCAGCGCCTACTCCCCTCTCAGACTCCAAAGTCGAACCAAAGAAACCGGCTCGCAAGCTGATGGAGGAAGAGAAATGTGCTGTTGGTCGTATCAGCCGTGATATATGGGAGACATATATCAGAGCATGTGGCAACGCATGGTATTGGTCGATATTCGGCGGTGTTCTTGTTGTGGCTGCCCTGAGTCCTGTCCTCGAGAACGGCTGGATAAAGTCAGCTTTTGCACGATGCACTTCCAGGCAAGGCTGTTTGCTGACAGGTTGTCGTACAGACTTTGGTCCGCTGCGCAGCAGGAAGGGGATGATAGAAGGGGTCCTATATACTACATCGGAGTCTATGCCGCGGTAAGCACGAGCTCTCTCATGTCCCTGTCGTATTGCATCTTACACGCTGTAGATCACCACGGCCGGTTTAATTATTACCACACTTCGCTGGTTCATTCTCTGTGAGTCGTCACTGATGACTTAGTGCGTCCCCTTGCTCACTTGGGCGTTGCAAGACTCTGGCTCTATACACGCGTCGACGGTGCTCTACGAACGTATGCAGATTTTGATTTTCAATATTGCTATACAAACATAACGCGAAAATAGGGTTATTGGAAACCGTACTTTTTGCGAACATTCGTTTCCACGACACAGTATCGAGAGGTCGCCTCCTTAATAGGTAAGGTTGCACATCATTTGACTGGCTCAGACTGATAATGATGTGTGAACATAGGTTTGGTAAAGACTTTGAAGGCATCGACAGCAGCTTGTCGGACAACTTTGGACGCAGTGTCATGTACGGCCTTTCTGCTGCGACCACTTTCGTGACAATCAGTGTTGTGGGTGGGCTGCCCTTCGTATTCGCCGCTATTGTCCTGGGTATACTTTACTACAGTGGTACGTACATTCCTCGGTTTTGCTTTGACATGCCCCCTCAGTTTTATTTTCTTTCAGTTGCAAAGGTATGCCGAGAAATCTGAGGCCCCTTCGAAAGTATTCACAGACTTTTTTGGTGTAGGTCTATGGCCAAACCTCAAGAGACCTTAGGCGCTTAGATTCAGTTACTCGGTCTCCTCTTTACTCCATTTACGGAGAGACTATCTCAGGGGTAACCATATTGCGCTCATTTGGAGCATCTTCCAAGTTTCTACGGGATATGCTGAGATGTGCCGACACTGTAAGCTATCCACTCGCTTCACTTTGTCCAATAACTAATGCATAGCTTGTTACAGAACGCTAACCCTTACTATTGGATGTGGGGTGGTGCGTCATTCTACCTCAACTGAACTTCAAGCCACCGTTAACAGTATTATGCTCAGTCAATCGTTGGTTGTCTTCTCGCTTTAACCTTCTCTCGGCGGCTGTCGTTGGGGTAACTGGATTAGTTGCTATCCTTACGCCCACCATTAGTGCTTCTACCGCGGGATTCGCTCTTACCTTCGCGTCAACCATTACAGGCGATGTGAGCTCTTCTTTGAGTCATTTTCATTGTAAAAATTACTGATTGCGCCCTCGCAGTTGCTGTTCCTTGTAAGTGGGAGATAACATGACTTCTCTACCTCTGGGGCTAACAGTGTTTTTTTAGGTACGGCGATTTGTTGGTTTGGAACAGTCGATGGTAAGCAAGTGGGATTCTCCTTTTCTATTTTTTAATGACACTGTGCATCCACCAGGTTGCTTTAGAGCGCGTGAAAGAATATTCTGAACTTCCCCGCGAGCCCCCCGAATTTGTTGAACCACGACCTCCGCCTACTTGGCCGTCCGAGGGCAAGATCCAGTGTGAGAACCTAGTGATCAAATATGCAGTACGTTCAATACTTCTGCACCCAGTGTTTCTGAACTCAACAGATAATGTGTAGCCCGAGCTCCCGAGTGTTCTTCATAACATAAGCTTCGACATCCTCCCCGGGGAAAAGGTAGGTAATTACTACATGCATCCGTTCGAAAAGCTACAATCTTGAAATCCAGGTTGGAATCCTTGGTAGAACTGGCTCGGGTGAGATCTACCAAGTCTGTTATCCCGTGCGCATATTGATGTATATGTCCTTATAGGCAAGAGTACTCTTGCTCTGTCATTTTTCCGATTCGTGGAGGCGACCGAGGGACGAATCCTTGTCGATGGACTAGACATTGCTAACATCGGCTTGTCCGACCTGAGAACCAAGTTGACTATCATACCCCGTAAGTCGTGACCTATCACTAAGGAATGAACAGAGACTTATTTCTGGAGCAGAGGACCCTACCATATTAAGTGGAACCTTGCGGTCCACACTTGACGTGTTCGATGAATACGACGTGACAGAATTTGACCTATTCTGTATAAAGGATAAAAGGCATGCACTGGCCGGGAATCGAACCCGAGACCTTTAGCACACATGGCAACGCTCTAACCAACTGAGCTACCAGTCCGTGTATTAGACTGATGTTAGCTAGCATCAGGTACAAGTGATGGAACTTGTATTTCTGACACCCCCACTCAAGTGAATACTTGTACCGGTGTGGAACCTAACAGCATCCTCGCAGAGGTACGGGGACCCCCACTGAACCTGGAGCGGATCCGGTTGTACGGAAGCACTGTTAGACCGGAGCGTGGGCAATGATTACCAATGCAGAGGCCTCTTAAATCCTTAGTGGGAGTGACAGAATTTGACC